TAGATTCATTTCTTTCCTTAGCTGTTTTTGAGTCTTGTATTTTGTGTAAGTTTAAACCGAGTCTTTGCATGGTCAGCCAAGGGGGTTTGTCCCGAGACTAACTTATTGCTTCTTGTAGTCCGTATTTCCTCTTCTCTCCTTAAAACCGTCTGTGAGAAAAGAGTTTAGCTTTCATCTATCTTTTTATCAAAACTCTTTTAAAAATAGACCATCCTTTGGTGTGTCATATCCGAAGAACCCTTGTTGTTTTCCTGACGCGTCATATCCTTGAAAACCTCAAATAGTTTATCAAGAGCCTTTCACATTTCTTACTAAACTCCACTCTCTACAATCATCCCACCTTCTCATCAAACCATTCATATTCATCATATCCGATCAATTATTTCACCACGGAGCACCATCCTTATTCACTACGAATCATTTACTCGTTTATAACGATCCACATTATCATCATCTTTGTTTTCAAAGTTAGGATCTTAGAGAGATTATATTACCTTATATAGCAGTGTCACCTATATCTTTTATTCATCGTTGTCCATTTTAGCGACAATTTGTTTTTCACTGTTGTGTTTTTTTGTTATTAAAATTACGAAAAAATAAATGGATGCCTACTTGTAAAAATACATAGACTGTCCACACCAAACCCCATTGAATAAGTCTATTTTATATGATCAACAACATCTTTAACGAATATTTCATCTTTCGTTAGCTACATAAAGCTTAAATTTTTGAAAAATCAACACAAAACAAAACTTTTCAATTATCAATAACTACAAAAGATATCTAAAAATCAATCTAAAACCACACCAAATTATATCAAATTTCTACTTTTATCAAAAGTATAAATGTATTCTATTTTGTTGACAAAAAAAAGTCTTTTACTTTATGCAATTAAATAAATTTTGAAATTTACATTTAAGGAACATGAAAAATGTTGCAATCTTATCAAGGATTCATCTTTGTTTTTATATGTACTAGGTATTAATACATTGATTTAATTTTTTTTAGCTACTATCTTTAAAATTATTAAAAATTATATATATTTATAGAAATTTTCATTTATATAAGAGAATTTAATATATAATATGTAATTTATCCTATTTTTATTTATAAATTTTAGAAAAATATTAGGTAAAATAATAACAATGACACCTATCGAATTATCCAACTTTGACATACATATACATTTAATTTAGAGAAATATCGTCTTGCTAAGATTTTGGTATTATTTTCTGTTTTCCATAGAATTTCTATAGTTCTTTTTTTTTCTTGAAGGTTTGTGTGTTCAAATATTTAGTTTTTTATTAAAAGTCTTATTGATGTTGTGTACCACAATATATATAATCCATGATTCATGTTGAATCGCATTTAATTTTGTTAGGAAGCTGTAATGATCATGCAAAACCATTTTTTCCTTCTCCATCATATCTTCCAAGAGTTTTATGTTATATTTTTATTCAGTTTTCATTGTTTTAATTTTTAAATCGAGTTGTTTTAGATTTTTTTAAATTGATAATTGATAATGGTTAAAAAAATTTTATACATGTATTGTTAATTGTTAATATTTTATTTAACTTTTAAATTTTTAAATCATATTAATATTTCCTGATTTAATAAATATGTTGATTTGGATCAATCATATTGAATTTACTTTTTTTGTTGGACATAATTTGTTAAATTAAATTTTAATGTTTTAATTATACTTAATAATTTTTGGTTTGATTTAAAATCTGATGTGGACCAATTAAATCAGGTTTTTTCATCCTAATCATACTTAACATTTTTTATTTAATGAATATGCTAATGTGAACCAATCAGATCGAGTTTTTTAATACCATGTGGACACTCTCAATGCACTATGTCATCAACTTTTATATATTACTAGGCTTTTAAGTATTAATAATTTGGCTTAATTTTTTGCTAATATCTTTTAAATTATCAAAACTATAATATATTTATAAAAAATTTCTTTTATATAAAAAATTAAAACCTAATATTGTGTATTTCCTATTTTTGTTTATAAAATTATAAATCTTATTAAGTAAAATCATAGTAATGACACGTAACGAATTATCCAACTTCGATGTGTATATGTTTGATTTAAAAAATGATTTCCTTATTAAATTTTTGGTGTTTTGTTTTGTATCCTTAGGATTTCTATGGTTCTTTTTTTGAAAAAAAGTTTATATGTTTAAATATTTAGTTTCTTTACTCAATGTCTCACTAATGTTGTGTATATATACATATATAATATATAATATATGTTGATTCAGATTTACTTTTGTTAGTAAGCTACACTAATCATGTAAAGCTGCTTTTTGCTTCTCCACCAGATCTTCTACGAATTTTAGGTTATATCTCTATTCAGTTGATGAGATCTGTTTTATTTGCAGTGAGCTATTTGCTAATATTTGTTTTTAAACATGTAAGATGATGTTAAGATTTCACATTATCACTGTTTTTTTATCTTTTGTGTGTTTATTCATGTTTTGATTTGAATATTTTATCTTCATATATTCCCATTTGAATTTGATTCATAACTTTGTCATATTATATTATTTAAATAAAATTTAGAGGATATTGCTCATGTGTTGGTCATGTTGACTAAGTTATAAGCAGTATATATGTATACAAATCAGATTTTATTACTTATTATATTTTGAATGTAAAGTTACTTGTGTAGTATTTTACTTTGTTAATTTTTCAACCAGACGCAACCAAGATATTAATCTTTGTAAGTTTAAATAATATATTTGATTTAGAAACTTTTATAACCTATTAAAACACCAATTTTTTAGAAACCATGAATGTTTTTGGAACCATATTTCAAACTAATTTTCTTTTTAGATCTTGTTTTCTGTTATTTAAATATCTTCGATGGTAATTTTATATTTTATTTTAATAGTCTAATTTTCTACAGTTTGATATACTTAAAACATATATATTTTTAACTAATCTCTTTTGTTATTGATTTTTCAAATAGGTAACATATATATTAATCACATATCTTTTACATAAATGTTTTTTCTTTGTTAAATTTACTTTTTAAATTAATTAAAATACTATTTTGATATGCTATAACTGGTTATTATAAATTTTAAGTGAACTTCTCTCAAAAGCTTATACTATCATTTTCTTTTTTTAGTTAATATTTTTTTGGTAGTTCGCCTAAATATCAAGCTAATTTTACATTATACGACTTTTTCCTTTGATAATTTATCTCTCTTGATATTGAGTTTTATTTTATTTTAACACACCATTGTTTTTAAAATATTAATATTTTGAAGACATAAATTTTTTGTTAGTTAAATATTTTTATATGATTTTGTTAAGTAGTTAGTCAGATATCAAGTCAATATATTTTAAAGTGCTTTTTTAAAACATAATATTTTCTAAAACTTAATTTTCGTTTTAGTTTTTTAGTTAATTAATTTCTTAATATTGATTTCTTAAATAATTAGCTTAAATATTTATATTATTTTTATTAGTTAAGTTTTTTAGTATTATTTAAGTTTTTTATTCTCTTACTTATTCTGTTTATATTGATTTTTTTTAAATAAATAACATAGATATTAAGTTAATATCCTCTTTTTTTGTTAATTTAACTTTCTCGATATGAACTTTCATTTTAATTGTATTGATATGTTGTAAAAAATAATTTATGTTTTCGTTTTTGTTAATTAAACATTTTTTATATTGCTTTCTTCAGTAATTAGCATAAAGTATCATCTTTGGTTTGTTAAGATTCTTGTGTTAATTTTTTAAATATTTCTCCAAAAATTATAAGTTTTAAATGATTTTTTTTTTGATAATTTAAGATGAATATTTTTTTGGTAGTATTGATATTTTTAATAAAAATTTGATATGTTCATATGAAAATTTAATCTTAATATTTTCTAAATAAATTACTCATTTAAAATATATATGCTAAATTTTTTAATAATTTAATATTTTGTCCAATATATATGATTTTTCTTTCATAATCTATTTATTTTTTTAATTATCTTTTTATTGTTAATAGAAAAATAAGATCTATTTTCAAAACTCTTTTTTATTAATAACTAATTTAAAATTTAAAAATTTTTCTAATAACAACAAAAACAAAATTAATTAAAATTTATAAATTTTTCTTATAACAATTAAAACTAATTAATTAATTTTAATATACAATATATAATTAACTAAAAATAATGATGATGTGTATCAATAGAATTAAATCTTTAAATCTTATGTAAACACCCTTAAAGCCATTTAGCATTAACTTTTATTAGTAATAGATATGGTTAACTAAGTTTTTAGAAAGTTTTCTTTATTTTAGAAATCTATATATTTTTTTAAATCAATGATATGCATTATTCCGAATTTAAACTTGAGTTGTGTGCAAACACTATCAGTATATATTACATGACTATGACTGTAAATTCTAGATTTTAACAAATTTATTATTTATAAAAATAAATTCTAGATTTTTATTTTAGGAACAGAAAATGTGACATGTTATCAGAAGTCATCTTTACTATCAAATGTATTAATTATGTTTTCTAAAAATTAGTATTACTTAATTATTTTTTTTAAAATAGTGTTTCTTTTATCGATAATATGCGTTATAAAGTTTGAATTTGTATTTTAAAAGCATTGACAATATTTATACAAACTACATGAACGATTCGAGCAATGTTTATTTTTCTATAATATAAAATCAAACTAGTATTGGACTACATGAACGATTTTAACAATGTTTATATATGTAATACAAAATTGAGGAACATCCATAATTACGCTGATGAAAATATTAGTGAAGTGGGGTACCACGTGAAATTAATACATAGGGACACTCAAATTTTTAGATTTGATCTGAGGAAGTTGTTAACCAGACACGACTTATGTGAATTCTGTTCATTTCCTTTTTAACTCTTCATTGTACCCAAAAAAATATATTTGTTACCTAACTTAAAATGTAGATTATCCTTTCTAAAAGTTAGGATATATATCCATTTCAAGCGAGTCAGTCAGCAAGTTTTAATACCCTGTTTCCTTCTGTATTCCTTCAACGATCCAACTAAACAAAAAAAGCAACAACAAAAAAACCGAAAAACAAATTTATTTATTATTCAAAACTTTAAAATAGCAATAAAATAAAATAAAAATAATATGAAAAAAGCCAAGTCGGTTTCAACCTTTCTCTTCACTATAAATTCGCGTTTTCGCTTCTCTTCTCACAATTACCTCTTTGCCGTTTCTTCTCACGTCACATCGAATCTACACAGAAACTATTTTCTCCTGAAATTTCATCATTTTTTCCTCAATTTTTTTTATTTTTATTTTCTGGGTAAATGGAGAATCTCTCTCAAATCCTCCCTCGTGTCCTCGTCGTCTCTAGACGCACCGTTCGTAAAAACAAATTCGTCGATTTCGTTGGTTCTTCTCTCACCTTTTTTGCTTTTGTTTTCTCCTTATTTTTTAATCTGCATGGTTCTGTTTTTATAATTTTTAAAATCGTACCTTTTTGTAAATGTTTATCATTATACTCTAAATTGGGTTTTCGAATTTGATGATAAAGTTATGAATTTTTTTTATTTTCAGGTGAATACCATCTTGATTTGATAGTTCGTTATGGATGTGTACCAGTGATTGTTCCACGAGTCACTGGTGTTCACATGCTGCTTGAAAGCTTCAAGCCAATCCATGGTGTTCTGCTTTGCGAAGGAGAAGATATTGATCCTTCTCTTTATGAATCTGAAATCTCTTCTCTCTCACCAGAAGAGCTTCAAGAGATTAGAGAAACACATGCGAGTGATACAGCTATTGACAAAGAGAAAGATTCCATTGAGTTAGGTCTTGCTAAGCTCTGTCTCGAACAGAACATTCCTTACTTAGGAATCTGCAGAGGATCACAAGTACGTCTTTTGAAACTTTGTCTTTTGTACCTTTCTCTAGAATTTAAATTGTTAAAAATGATAACTTTTTCTTGCAGATTCTGAATGTTGCTTGTGGCGGGACTCTTTATCTTGATTTAGAGAAAGAGCTTACGAACAAGTTACCTGAAGAACGTAGAACTAAACATATTGATTATGATGATTATGATGGACACAGACATGTTGTGAGGATTGTTGAGAACAGTCCACTTCATTCTTGGTTTAAAGACTCGTTGGATGAAGAGAACATGGAGATTTTGGTTAATAGTTACCATCATCAAGGTGTTAAGAGATTGGCACAGAGGTTTGTGCCAATGGCGTTTGCTTCTGATGGATTAATGGAAGGTTTTTACGATCCTGATGCGTATAATCCTGAAGAAGGAAAGTTCATAATGGGTTTGCAGTTTCATCCAGAGAGAATGAGAGCACATGATCTTGATGAGTTTGATTATCCTGGTTGTCCTGCTGCATATCAGGTTTGTATTCTTGATTGTTACATTGTAATTAACTAAAAGAAGATGTGAATTGAGTTTTTTTTTTTTAAATGGTGTTTTTGTGATTTTGGTTTTAGGAATTTGCAAAGGCGGTGATTGCGTATCAGAAGAAGCTGAATAGCACAATGTCTGTGCCAAAGACATTGGAGCTTAATAGAGAAATGGAGAATAAGAGAAAGATACTTGTTCGAAGTTTCTCACTTGCTAAGTATATGTATACTAGAGGAGCTCCTGGGAAGAACCCATCAAAAGAATCTGAGCTAGAAGTTGGAGCTGAGTTTCTGGAGGTAAAGAACACCAAATCTATCTGCTTAACTTTTTTTACATAATCTTGATTCCATATTATTGCAAGAGGCAAAATGGTTTAGTAGAGTTCTTTGGCCTTTCGCAGTACTTAAGGGTTGCATAGTAAAACTGGGGTCTATATTTCAATATTCATTTCGGTTGGATGATGTACTTATGGTTGTTGTGATGGGCCAAAGAGACCCTTGACCGGACCAGCCCGTTTTACCACCGGGACATTTTTCCCTGATTCTTAACACGTGCCTGGTTCTCATTCCGTCTTGTTGGACACAAACATGCATGTGGCCAACCTGAAAAACCAAGCTAAATAGTGGGTCCTAACCGGTCTGACTTGTGACCGGATTAAACCAGACGGGTATGAACCTATTTTGAAAAATGATAGACGGACCTGCTTGTAGGCCAATGGTCAGGCCCGGCCTAGCCCACGGGCTTTTGTCCCACTACGAAATCTCTCTCTTTATTTCTTTTTCGACACATGTTTGATCAATAGTAGGATTTTCGTCTCTTCTTACAAAGTTAATCATTGTTTTGTGTATGGTGTGGGTTGTTGCAGTCGAACACCGCGCTAAGTGCGGAGCAAGAGATGAGGCTGAAGGAGATGGGAGCGACGGTGAGGAACGGAGGATCATATATGAAAAAGTTGAAAGTAGATGAAGAGAAGCAGAAGATGTCGAGGAACATGATGAACAAGATGAACTTAGAGCAACTGTCGGAGCTTATGGCGTTTTATCATTTGATGGGAAATATATGTGGAGAAGTTTTGGAGAGAAAGCTTCATGGCAATGTCAGTGAATGCCTCAAGGATCTGTGAGTGCTCACATGAAATGCAAGAGTATGCTTTAAGAAAAAGGCGACTTTGTGATTTGCTTTATTTTTTCTTTTCTTTTTTGTTTAAAAAGATGGAAAAAAGGGTAAAGTGCATGTGTGATCCATTTTGATGGACCTAATAACAGTCATAGGTTACATGATGATTTGCCAACAAATTTGATTTTAGTAAATTTTACTTAAGTAATTATAGATGTTGATGTAAACGTTTTGTGAAACTACCTCATTTATTATGAACTGTGACTCTGTGAGATTAAGGATACTATTTGGAATTAAACTGCATTGTTGGGATTCGATTACATGCATTATAAACAATTGCTGCATTTTTCTAATCCTATTGAATAATCAAAGATTTTGTTCCCCTCTTTTTTTTTCAAGTTTGGAAATCCTCTGTTCGCAAATGCTTTTGAAATAGTCTAAAATAGACTACGAATGTTTTACTTTAACAGGAAACAAGTCCTTAATAGGCTAAAACTATCGTGAGGTGACTCACGTAAGTCACAGGACTGACAAAAAAGTTTCATAACGACAGTCAATCTTATTTTTCTACAAGAAGATCAAATAGCACTGAATCATAGTTGAACAATGGGATAATCGTGTATACATGTGATTAATGATGCATTCAATGATTGTTGTAACAAGGTTGGTGTAAAAACCGTATTTGTAAAATTTAGTTCAAGAGCAAAAATCGTATTTGTAAGACTATCACAATGGTGATTTTATTCAAACACCCTTTCACTTTTTAACATTCTATATCATTTTCTGTCTTTACACTTAGTAATTTAATAAAATTATTACATCATATATTAATAATAGCTAGATTATAACATGCACACGGAATAAATGTTTTTATTATAATTTATAATATGAAATAAAAATTGTAATTAAATTTTCTTCTGTTGAAAATATAAATGAAGATAAAACATATGAAGTTGAATATAATTTTTATATATATTTTAGTGTTGACAAAATATATTTATAGAAATTAAGGTTTAAGATACAGTAGAACTTGTATAAATTAATACTTGATAAATTAATAATGACTATAAATTAATAAATCTTGCCCGTTTCAAATCGAAACAGTGTAATAATTAGCATATTTCGATAAAATAATAAGATAATGATATTTTTGGAACCCCTATGTAAAAATAAGATCCTAATAATAATAGAAATTAATTATTATGTTTGGAAATTTAGGTTGGCATTCCCTCCGGAAAACGATGATAATGCTCCATTTAGTCTCGCTGCAATGTTAGGGCAGTCTGCAGAGCATCAGCATGGATGGGAAGTCCTGGTGATCCCCTTCCCCTCTAAGGCTTCTCTCTATTTTGCATTCTCTTTCTTTCTCTAGGTTCGGACATCTTTCTGTGCCGCTTTGCCGACCCTCTCTCCTCTGGCCTTCACCCCCTCTTTGTATTTCTTGTCTCCTGACCCATCCCATTGGCGCGACATATGACACGAACAGGGGGCTGGCGCATTCGACTTGGAAAGTTTGCCAATTGCTAGGGAAGTCTCCTAGAGAGTCGTTTGTCAGGCCTATACAGGGTTGGACCCATTACTAACGTGTCATCTCCTGTTTCATCGTGGTAAAAATTGGTCCAACAAATTATATATTTAGATATATATATAAATAATATAATATAATAAAATATGATTATATTATTATTTCGAGTTTATAAGTGTTGTTTGACTTATTTCCTAAATTTAGTTATATGCCCTTTAAAAAGAAAATATTTACATTGTTGAAAATGTTTTTTTTATTTGTTGATAAACATTAAGAATTCAAACTAAAAAAATCTCTATAAATTAATAAAATTTCAAAGTTTTCATATTATTAATTTATAGAGATTTTACTGTATATATTGATAGTTTTTGTGTAAAACTGTTGGGAATGAATTCTCAGCCTATGTTGGGACCCACTTCGAGAGAAACATGCTCTCATTTTTCGCTTGAGACCCACATCTGCGGAACGCATGCGCAGAAAATGTTTTTGGTCAAGTTAACACTCAATATAAGTGCAGCGACGACCTATCTCTGAGAAGCACAAAACCCTAAAGGTATCTTTTATAAATACTCAAGTTCTCTCTCTTTAGGAGGAGACCTTCCCTACCCATGAAAAATACACATGAGAGACTCCTTTTACTCTTTAAAATCACATATTCTCTTGGTTCCTTTTGATATATTGGGTTTTTGAGACTTTTTAACTAAAAGTTTTCAGTGGTTTTTTGAGTCAAAGTGTGCTTTTTGAGTATTTTATCCCTTTATCGAGTCTTTTCAAGTTTTAGGTCGTTTTGGAAGAAAAGCAGCCATTTTGGGTGCAAACGAACATATGTAGATGCAGAACTATGCATAGACGTCAGAATTTTGGTATTCATTGAAGCATTTCCTACCGATGGATGGAGCTGAAGTTTGGATACAATTTAAATTTTTGAGTTATCTTCATTTGAAAGTGGTTTGAAGTCAATACAACAGTGCGATCAAAAGTTATGCGAGTTTTCGTGAAAACAGTCCAGTCTAGCATTCAAATGAAGCGTGTGCAGGAGTCATCGGAACGATCGCTCTACTTAGAACGATCATTCCGACATCAGAAAATTGCCATGAACTTTAAAGAATGATAGTTCTATACTAGAACGATGATATATCATGGTTTTTAATCATGATATAAGTCCTTTTTATTGAGTCTTTTTGGTATTTTTAGAGTCCTAGAAGAGTCTTTGCAGGTTATAGCATGTCTGGAGCATAATTGGAGATGTTGGAACCTTTTGGAGCATTCTGAGTGGAAGCCACGAAGTACCAAGCTCGAAGCAGAAAAGTATCGCATATGGTGACGATCGTCACCCCTTTGGTGACGCTCGTCACCTACTAAGGAAGGAGCGTGGCGTTTTATTAAAAGTATCAAGAAGAATTTCAGAATTGGCCCAGAAGTTTCCTTTATTTACATGAAGACCCAGATCGTGTTTAGCTTCTATTTATTAGGTTTTTCAGCCATTGTTGGCTATGATCTAAGTTTTTAAGAATTCAGAGAGCTAGAGAGAGATTTATTCAGAGCTTTTTGGGGAGACAAATCCTGTACTCTTTTGAGAAGATTTTGAACCCCCTTTGTTTCTTACTCTTTCTATTAATGCAATTTTATTCAGTTATGTTTTGTGATCTCATAATCATGTCTGAGTAATCTGCTAGTTAAGTTGGGGTTTTTCAAAGGTTGATGAAAAGAGTGTAGAATCGCTATCTGTTAGGAATATCTCATGGTTTTTCATCTCTGCTTGCTTTAAAATCGAATTTCTGAGACACATCATCTAGGAATCCGAAAATCATAGGTTGTTAAATATATGTGAGAGCATTATTCATAACCTGAACTAGTATTTGATGAGCAAAATAACTTAGTACAAAGAGATTTGGCTTAGGAGTTTTGTAAACAATTGAACCTGATCATTACTCCATGCTTAGGTTGTTAGGATTTACAAAGAGATTTGAAACTCTGTGATCTAGGTATAGATAACTTTTGCAATGAGAATTGATTAGTTATGCATTAGAGATTCATGTTTAAAACGGTTCTTAATCATTCCTGATTTCCTGCATCATACATTCTTGGATTCAAACCTGCGAATTACCCTGGCTTAGCGCTTTTAATCTTCTTGAACTTAGACCATATCACACAATCGTTTGCTTACTTTTATTCATTCATTCGCATTAAATACATCATATTTTGCTTAGCTCAGTCCGAATCTATATTCGATAGTGTAGTCTGCATTACTCTCTTGGGATTTCGATACCCCTTATACTACATCTGCTTTTGTTGTGCACTTGCAGTAGTTTTATTTGGGTAAAACCTGACCCTACCAAGTTTTTGGCGCCGTTGCCGGGGAGTAATAGCTGCCTATCGATTTTTAGTATTAGGATTTTGTCTAAGTTTTTATTTCTTTACTGATTTTCAGCTACTTTTCTTTGTTCCTGTTTCAGGTGTATGCCTAATCGCAGAACCAGAAGCAACAAAGAGAAGGAGCTTGTGACTTTGAGCATCGACGAGCTTGCTAGGTTGGAGAGAACTAACAGGAAAGCTAAGAAGCAATCTGCAATGGTCGCTCCACTGATCTTGGTTGAAGATGCAGAAGGTCACTTGATTGACAGGGAAGGAAACAGGAGGAACGAAGAGGGGCAGAGAATTGATCAAGAGGGAAATGTCATTGTTGAACAGCAGGTTCAGGAAGTGGCTGAGAACGTGGGAGTCCCTGCTGCTGTCAATAACGCTGCTGGGCGTTTTGTTCAGAGGACTCTAGGTGATTACAACAGACCTGATCAGTTCTATGCCAACAGAGCTGCAATCCGACCTCCTGCCTTCCAGAGGAACGATTTTGAGGTTAAACCTGTCTACTATCAGCTAGTTGGACAGCATCCCTTCCATGGTTTACCTCATGAGCATCCTATGGATCACATAGAGAGATTTGAGGACTTGGCTTCCAGTGTCAAAGCTAATGGGGTTAGCAATGACTTTCTGTTCTGCAAGCTTTTTCCATACTCTCTTGAAGGAGAAGCTGCATATTGGCTGAAGCAACTGGAACCTGCTTCGTTAACTACTTGGGAGGACACCAAGAATGCCTTTCTGAACAATTTCTATGATGATGCCAGATCAGAAGACATGAGGACGAAAATTGCATCATTTACACAAGGCCCTACTGAAGCTTTCAAGGCTTCTTGGATCAGGTTCAAGTCTTATCAAAGGGACTGCCCTCATCATGGTTTCAGTCAGGTGCAATTACTTGGGATCTTTTTCAGAGGCATTGACTGGAAATATCAGATGGCGCTGGATGCAGCAAGTGCAGGGAACTTCAACACCAACAGACCAGAGGAGGCGGTGAGACTGATTGAGAACTTGGTCTGCAGCAACAACACTAAAAATGCAGACTTTCAGAGAATAAAACAAGCTGGTGTAGCTGATGGAAATCAGATTGCTGAAGTTAAGGCTAAGTTGGATGATATGCACAGCCTTTTGGTAGGGAAGAAGTCAGTTCACTTTGCTGCAGAAGTAGAGACTTTCGAAGCTCCAGAGGAAGTTGAGCAGGAGGATGTAAATTTCATCAATTCTGGCGGATTTCAGGGACAAAGGTATGGGAATCAGCAGTGGAACAGAGGATACAGCAACAACAATCAGAAAAACGCCCCTACAGGAGGACAGAACACGCCTGGTTTCACTCCTAGACCCCCTTTCCAGAAGACAGAGTATCAGAAGCCATTCTAGAACAGTGGAAATTACAGAAACTATGGTTCTACTTCCTATCAACCAGCACCTCCACAAGAGA